TTGATTTTGATTGTTCATAGTGACATCATTAAATTGTTTTCTCTATCTGTTGCAACTGATTCAAATATTTACTGTGGAGCTTCTTATCTGCAGATTTTTCTACACATTTATGAGTTAGTGACATGAATGATAAACAAGTACAACATGTTCTCCTTCTATTTTAAAAGAATAATAATTTATATTGTGTGTTCAAAGCAGCAGTAGCAAGCACATTGGGTATGAATACTTGAATGTGAATACATCTCGATAGCAGCCGCCAAGCACTATCATGAGCACATGAAAACATCTCTATTGTAAAATTGTTTCGACTTCTAATTTTCTCCAATTTTTATGATGGTATAGGAAATTAATGTTCTCAGTCAACTCAAGCACCCAAATATTGTCCAGTATTACGGCAGTGAAATAGTAAGTACTAATTGTTATTCTCCAATTAAGTTATATATCCATCTGAGCATGTTGTTCTCAATGAGAGTCTTTACTACTTTGATTGTGCAGGTTGGTGACCGATTTTACATTTATCTGGAATATGTTCATCCTGGTTCTATCAATAAATTCATCCATGACCATTGTGGAGCAATTACAGAATCCATAGTACGGAATTTCACTCGCCATATTCTTTGTGGATTGGCTTACTTGCATAGCAAAAAAACCATTCACAGGTAACAGTCTGAGACTTCACTTATGATGAGGACTATACAGAACATTCTGAAGAACAAATTGGAAATTTTTACATGTATAGGGACATAAAAGGGGCTAATTTGCTTGTTGATGCTTATGGGGTTGTAAAGCTTGCAGATTTTGGGATGGCTAAGCATGTAAGTTCTCAACTCAAATATGGAGTATACTCATTTTGTTTCAATAATGGAAGTAAACAAGTCGTTCGGAGATTCCCTATTCCTGGAAGCCAGTAAATGTAGAATTACCAATCACTTTGACTACACTCATGACTAGAATAACAACCCCAGTAGGAAAATTAATGTTTAGAATGGCAACTATAACAGTTATAACAAGGATACTTAATCTGTTTTGTTGTAAAGCTTGCAGTTCTTTTAACCTTTATAACTTACACTGACTGTGTTGTACTGCTGATTTTTGCTAGTTTTATATTCGATCTTGAACCTTTACTCTTTCTATGCAGCTTAATGGGCAAGCAGCTAATCTCTCCTTGAAGGGAAGTCCTTACTGGATGGCTCCTGAGGTGCTTTGTTTGAAACATTACTTCTGCCTGATTACGTTCTCTTACCTCTCATGCTTATACCTTTTGTTACCTGGCAGCTTTTGCAGTCAGTTATGCAGAAGGATACTAACAGTGATCTCGCCTTTGCTACTGACATATGGAGTTTGGGCTGTACTGTAATTGAAATGCTAAATGGCAAACCACCTTGGAGTGAATATGAAGCAGTAAGGACTTTGATTCACTCATGCTTAGCTCACACATACTCTTTTGGTTTTCTCATGCTTAGCTCACATGTAATCTTACTTGAAAGACATGCGTTTCTGTTGCATGCTCCTGTAGGTTCACGTGCAACCCTATCTAGAGTGAGAAGGAGGTTTTCTCGTAGTTGTAATTACATTCATTAAGACTGATTCTACTATATTTTGCATCATGTCGAGGAGCTTGTTCGATTTCACTACACTTGGGTTCATTTGGTTCGCAGTAGATGGGTCCATATAGTTTCCCAATTCATAGGTGTTAAACAAATATTTGACTTTCTTTCATGGATCAGTAAGTAATTTCATTTTATTAGTAAGATCTGCAGAGATACATTACTGACTCTGCATAGAACCAATAAAGTCAAGCAACTCGTCTAATTGCCCCTCCTTTTGTGTCTTTGCTCTCAAGCACAGAGTTCAATAGTTTCTTTCATCCTTTAATTTTACTCCAATCACTAATCAGAACTCACCGTTTAGTTTTCTTCAAATGTATGATCTCGTAAACGGACGCTAAATCTTACAACAGTCGAATAAGTCGAATGCTAGTTTATCTCCTATTCTTGCAGGCTTAATTTGTAAATTAACATGTCAGACTGACTATACAGAGCTGCACCACATTAACCATATCCATTTTGCAGGCTGCAGCCATGTTCAAGGTTCTAAAAGATACACCTCCAATACCGGAAACATTATCACCTGAAGGAAAAGATTTCCTACGCTGGTGTTTCTGTAGGAACCCAGCGGAGAGGCCCTCGGCCAGCATGTTATTAGAACATCGATTTATGAGAATCTCTCATCAGCCAGATGTTCCTTCTTTCCTCAAACCAGCTGGTGGAGTACGAATCAAAGTAAGTACGTTCAATTCCTCTCCCCTCCTCTCCTCTCCAGCTCTTCTTCCTCCTTTTCTTTTTTATGGTGTATGAGTTATGATCTTTAATGCAATAATATAATGTAACAGGAAAAGTTGAATTCTCAAAAAGAGCAGACAACATACAATCTTGACCAAGGGCGTTTATCTCTAGAGAGGTAGCTCTCAAAAGAACTGTCAATGAAGTGAAAATTACATTCCAAATGGTGGAATACTTAGGCTAACACATCCTTGATATGGGCATTTCTTCATGCCTGGACACTTAATCTATATGTGCAATTGGGACAGGCCAACTGTGTGTCATCGATTCCATCGGAGCCCCATCATTTCGCTCGTTCAACTCCTATGGCCCTGTCCCCAGTTAATTCCTACCCTGCTCGGTGTATTGATGTTAGCATATTATAAATGTAAGTAATTACCAAAACCAGGTGCAATTACGAAACGTCAACTGATTTTGCAATGGAAGTAGCAGGACATATTTTTGGTGTCGCTTTCCATGAGAGCTGGATTTGTGAATACAATGGAGACCTTTATACACGTGCTCTACAGATAGCTTGCAGGCGAAAAGCGAGTTGGAGCCAGTAGGTACTCCGCCTTGTCTCAATATGTTACACCTTGAGAGGAACATAGTTTTATCGTCCAGGGAAGTCTTTTTCCTGCAGACCTTGGAGTTTAGAAGTAGGTTTTCTGTAATGACTTCCAAAGGAGGAGCTTCAACAACAATCAAAAGAAAATGAAATGCTTTGACCATTTATACAATTCATTATTGAATCTCGTACTCTGCATTTTTTCTTTTAAATTTTGACAAGCATGTCTAGTGTTTATGGTGTATGGAATGGTCGTTTTTGTGCAACTTGAAGCACTGCTACTCGTGTGTAGAGGCCAGAATATTTTGTTTTGTCAAATGTCATCATGTTCCCTATTACTTCAAGACGAAACCTGAAGTAAAAGGATTAAGTAAACGGGTGATTTGCGCAAATAGGATACTTCGGTGTCAGTATTGATTCTTCGGAAAAGGTCCAAATATGCCTTTTGTACAGTATGAAATTGAACATATTTGCCCTTTGTTAATATTGCAGTCACATAATTGATCTCCCATAGTTGGTCCATATATGCCCTTGCAGTCACATAATTGATCCATATATGCCCTTTTCGAAACGGAATCCACCCAAGCTAATTAGCTCTTTCTTTAATTGTATTAAAGCGTATTACAAATACTATTTCCTTTTTATTAGTACTTTTTTTCTTTACCTTTATCTTTTCTTTCTTCTTTTTTCTTTTCTTCTCTTTTTTTTCCTTTTTCTTTCTCCCATATCCGATTTCCTCCATTGCTGATGCCTTCTCCATTTTCGTCACCAATTTCACGTGATTTTGTTCCTAAAAATCAAACCTACACTATCAAAAGCTTCCTAGCGAGAAGGCACTGGTTCTTCTAAAAAGAAAGAGATGAAAATTGTCGGAGAAATTTTTTCGGTGGTGTTAATTTGGTGAAAGTAGGATATGGTTATTCAGATTTTGAAGGTGTTGTTCACCATGGAGCTTCAAATCTGAAGGGAACAAAACCTTCAAAATCCGAATAACCATATCCTATTTTCACCCAATTAACACCACCGAAAGAATTTCTGCGACAATTTTCATCTCCTTTAGGTCAGAAGAACCTGTGGGGTTTGTGATAGTTAAATTAGTATGAATTCATGAATTTTGTCAAGTGAAATTGGTGAAGAAAATGGAGAAGGCATCAAAAATGGAGAAACTCGGATATGGGAGAAAGAAAAAGGGGAAAAAAAGAGAGAAGAAGAAATAAAAGAAAAAGGTAAAGAAAAAGTACTAATAGAAAGGAAATAGTGTTTGTAATACACTTTAGTACAATTAACGAAAGAGCTAATTAGTTTGGGTGAATTCCTTTTCAAAAAGGGCATATATGGACCAACTATGTAACGGTAAGGGCATATATGAGCTAAAGTATTAACGAAGGGCAAATGTGCTCAATTTTGTATAATACAAGGGTATATTTGGACCTTTTCCGTTATTTTTTGACCCACTTGTCCCATAGGCAAAATTTCAAGTTTAACAAATATTGCCTCTCCCTTGCCTGATGGACAACATTTTTTACTTTTGATCTTAAAGGTTTGCCAATGAGGCAAGCGCAGGTCAAAAAATTAAGACCATCTATTTTCAAAGTCAATTGATATAATTTCTTGTAAGTGAACGGTATGACCAACTGAATAGTGCTAGAAAGAAGTCTTTAAACAGTAATTATAAATAATATTACTCCGTCAGGTCTACTTTAATTGATTTTTTGACTATTTTCACACATATTAAAGAATTCACTTTTTAATATTAATTAAAAATAAAATTGATCATATTAACCTTTATTATTTCTTGAATTTGTTCATTGGAAATATAACAAATATTCATAAGCTTTTTACTCCAAGGATAATTTTGGAAAAAATAAATTAATTCCTTTTTGATATCTAAAAAAAATCAAATGTTATGGACCATAAAAAGAAAACCAAAAAATCAATTAAAGTGGTATTAACTTGAATAAAGAGAAGTACAGGAAACCCTTTCGGTGGTAGGATGTAACTGGTATTTAAAATTCATTAGGTAGATGAGTGAGTACAAATTGAACACGGAGTGAACGATGCACTGAACAATGAAACAAAATAAGCTAAAATTGAGGTGGCACGTAGTGGAACCTTGTTTGGAGCAGATATGGAAAGTTAGGTCAACAGAGAAGTGGAGAAACATTAATGAAAGAAATAAAAATGATAGAATAAAGCATGTAGCTTAGGCTGTAGCATAAAAACAGAAAGTAGAAAGACTTTTGGTCTTCTTTCCATTTTTGGCCCTCCAACCAAATCAAACAAACATCCCCCAATCGAAGTGCTATCACGTGCCCTTTCTTTTGCCCGTCCATCTCCTTTCAATATCCAAAATTTCCATAAAACTAAACCTTCATCTTCATCTTGTTTGAGAGAGAGAGATGGATCCACCACAGGTACAAGCCATAGACACCTCCAGCAAAAGCTATCCCCCAATTGAAGACGAGCAAGACAAAATAGTCGACCAATGGTATATTATTCCAACTTCCCCTGTTTTGCTCCTTTCTACTTAGTACTATTATTCTGTTCTATATTTTCTTACTGTTTTAATTAGACCGATTTGGTTTACTCTAATCTTTTTATTGTGTTTCTGCAGTTGTTCTTGCTTTTACGACTGTACTGATAGCCTTTTGGAGTACTTGTGCTGCTATGATTTCTGGTGTTCCTAGGGATACAATTTTTCCAAAAGGGAACTTGTTAGATGAACTAATTATGTTCTTTCGCTTTTGGTTAGCTTTATTTTGCAGTACATTACTCGAGTAACATTAAAAAAATTATAATGAGATTATCGTTGGCTTCTTATTAGGTTATAGTGGTCTTTTTCCAATTATATGCCTATGGTTCATAAACTTATATGCTAGAAAGAATTTGAACCCTTTTTGATCGTGCATTAATCAATTTTGATAATTAAAGAGGCATTGGTTCTTTCAGCACATTTCTGATAAAAAGTTTGTGTTTCAGTTGTGAGCCTTAATAGATAAAGTAAAGGGAAGTTGACAAATGATAACTAGTCATAAATTATTGAAGAATGGTCAGGTATTTTCTCCCTTCTGCCTAGTGCCCAGGGATACTGGTCTGTACATCCATTGGCATTCTGGCCTAAAGTGGGTTTCCCACTGTTGGTGGAGCCCTATATACCACTTTCTTTGGGCATTTGCATCTATATCCGCCTTTTGTGTCACGGTTTAATTTGTGTCCGCTTTGCAAAAAAAATTGCAAGCGTACCTATTTTTTTGCATAACTTCAGCATACGAGGCTGAAGTAGCAAAAACAATCATGCAAAACTTCAGCATTCTAGTAGACGAGCCTAAAGTAGCAAGTGTGCTGAAGTTTTTGTTTTGTAACTGGCGAACTTCAGCTCTTTTATTTTTGTAATTGACGAACTTTTGTAACTCGCGAACTCAGCTGAAGTTTTTGTTTTTGTAACTGGCGAAGTTTTTGTTTTGTAACTGGCAAACTTCAGCTCTACAACTGAAGTTTTTGTTTTGCCTTAGCTATTAATTAATAATACAGGCTGCAAACAACAGTGAATTCCAGAAACTTAACTACTGAAGGAAGCATATTCCAAACCAGTTCAAGATAGTAGACGATTTGCGTGAAGAAAGGACGTAAAAATGAACTAGCTTGCAAAAATGTAAATACACGGTCCCACTGTTACCATCTAACAAATCTATCTATGCACAATCCAATCCAAAGCAGATAAAATAGGGAAAATTTCACATAAGAACAATTGGGCTCCCTACTTTTCAATTTTATAGCCCATATTTATGGAAATCATCCCATGAACTGAAGTTCCATAGCAGCACCAACAGCAGCAGAAGAAAGAAGAAGAAAACGAAGGAGAAGAAAGGGAGCTGAAGTTATTTAAAAAATGGGTACAAGTTAAAAGTTTTTAAAAAAATGGGTATAGGTTAAATGGGGACGACCAAATAGCGCGCCCCGTGCAGTTTTTACCTTTCCTTGATCCTGCAAATCGTATTTGACTAGTTTGGATTCGTGTCGGATAAATTCACTAATAAAAGTTAAAAGCTTTCTATCAAGAAATTTTTGATTCTCAGGCTCGATTACTCTAATGATGCTAAGAATGATTTTTTCTTCCTTTTTAGCGCCGTTATTTTACATTTTGTTGAAAAAGCTACTACCTATAACTTTTGTTCATGCTTCCGTTGCTAGTAATTAACGACTTAACGCGTAGAGCTGTCAATATGAGCCAGTCCAGTCCATGCTATTTGACGGGCTAGGTTGGATCGGTCCATTTGATGGGCCTTAAATGATCAGCCAAACCCAACCCTACGTGGGTCACGAGACCGGCCCATCATTTTTATAAATTATTTTTTGTATTTTTTAAAATTTAATTTATATATATATATATAAAGCTTTTGCAAAACTTAATAAGTTTTTACATTGTTCCAATAGATTACTATAAAACACAAAAAATGAGGACAATATTTCATTTATTAAAAGTCAATACTCAAATAAACTACTCAAAAAAAAAATTCAAGGTGCTCTTAATATATCCAACACCAATAAATCATCTTTACCAAGCACATTTGAATCATCTTATAAAAAAAAAATCTTAATATCTTAATTTTCATCCAAGTCTAATTATATGCTATTAGTTAAACGTTAAGAAATAACTCAAATTTTAAGAACAAAAAATATTTATATTTACATAAAAAAATATTATCTGTTTGAGATTGGACTACTCTTCTTGTTATTTTTAGTTCCTTATTTTTTTTAATATTTTTAATTAAATACGTTATTAAGCTCACGGGCCGGCCCAACCCAACCTCAGTGAAGCCTCATGGGTCACGATCTTACTTGGGCCGAGCTTAAAAGTCTCATTTTTAATGGAATCAAAAAATCTTAGCCCAATACTATTAAATCATGGGCTGGGTCGGCCGAGTGTGCCAAGCCCATATTGATGGCTCTACATGAAAATATTAGTCTCAATTGATTTGGAGGAATAGACACCGTATAACAATGCTTAATTATAATGGGCATTTTATTGGCCTTAAATTTAGTTTGGCGGTAGTAGCCCAAAAAAATTGGCATTAAATAGCCTAATCCCAACAGACACGATTATATAACCCCTTAAATATAGGGGAGATTTTTAATATTTTGTCCATCCTTCATGCTTGCACGATATATCCCTTCAGAAGCGTAACTACCCAGTCGACCCGAATAAAAACAAATGCAGAAACTATATTTCCTTCACAAATCAAAAATGGTGTGAAGTTTTTTCAACAATCATGTTACGTCCCATGTTTTCGTACGCGAGAGTACGTCGTAAACCTATTTATGTAAGCTCGGAAATGAGATCGTTTTTGAAAGTACATAATGTAAGTTCATCATGTTATCTTGGAGGTTACAAATCTTTAAGATCATGAATAACAAGTACCAAAAGGGTTGGAAAGCTTAGACGCTAAACGAATTGAAGAAAATAAGTTTCGTCGAAAGTCGACAAGTTTGAAATGTTATAACATATGCTTTTGGGGTGATACTAGGGTTATTAACATAATGAGGAGGTTAAGTTATGAGTTATTTTAGTTATATTATAGTTGTGTGTTATGTTTTTAAGTCAAGCGAGTTGTAGAATAAAAGTTGGCAAAGGTCATCACAAGTTGCATTCATAATGTGCTGAAATTTAGGTCAAATATAGTTGCACTTTTATCCCAATATACTTGAAATCAATGGATTATCTACATATAAAATTGAATATCTACGAGTCTAGTTTCTAACTCATTAAACCGTTCGTCGATACGACATCGGACTAGAGAGATATTCGCATTTTTGTGAGACCGCGCAAGCAACTCCCATGGGACCTACAAAGTCGGTTTAAACTTCAGCTTGTATTTAGGTCATTTATATGTCGTTTTAACTCATTTTTCTCATCCACAACAGTTCCTAAACCCTCCTAAATTCTCTCTAAGGGTTCCTCATGATTCTAGGGTGAAAACCTAAGATAAAAACATGAATCCAATGCCAGAAATCTCGTGGTGCTTGCTAGATCGTAATTCTTCATCTTGTGGCTGTTTTGGAGGGTTTTTTAAAGGTAAGTAACCTTAGATTTCGTGTTGTTCTTTATGATTAAGCTAAGATCTTTCATGTATATTAGAGTTTCAAGGCGAAATACAAGTGTTTACACACCAACATAAACACAAAAGTTGATTCAAGAAGAGAATACAACTCCTACAGCGTTGTTGTATGATTGAGGGTTGTTGTGAGCTACACCAGCTAGGGATTTCAAGTTGTATCTACTGCCTAAGGTAAACAAATCATGTTCTTGGTTGTGCTTAAGTTCAATCATGTGTTGGTTGGGTTGTTTGAGTGAAAATCTACAAGATAGTAATTGACATGGCATAAGGAATCATTATCTTTTTTGTGGGCTGTATTGAGGCTATATATATGGTTTGTTGTGGCTGAAATTTTTTATAAATAGTTTTATTATGTTGTGGCTGCTGTTTTTAAGCTTATCTATGTGCTAATTTAGTGGATTGAAGAAGATAACATGAAAAATGAGATGTTGACGATAAAGGCTAAGGTTCTATGTGTGTGGACTATATTTGAAGATTATGCTTATGATGTTTTGGGTTGAAAATGATATGGTAACCATAAGTACGATGCTATATATATTGTAGGCAGATTCATGGCGCTCAATGGTTGTTGAACCAATCGGAGAGCTTATTGTGAATTATATTGTTGTTGTTTGGGCTGTTTGGTGACTTTTGGTAACATATGGGATGTAGTAAAAATAGAGGAGGTGCTGTCTATTTTCTTGTAGAATATTGGTTTCCAAATATGAGAGTTACAACATTTATATGATGATGATGAAGTCAGTTTACTCATTGTAGACGTAAGAAGATCATATTGAGCTTGCTTGAAGATTGGATAGAAGATTTCAAAGGTATATTAAGGCACTTACTTCTTTCTTTTCGCATGATCTAAAACGATAGGAACATAAACGATATGCTAATTCATAACAGATCTACTCCTAGGAACTAAAGCTGTCCATGTTGTTCTTTCCTTATAAAGTTATTCTAAGCAAGTGTGTATGATCCTTAAATCCTACTAAGGTTCATATTGAGGGTATGGATGTCCATAATATTAATCGAAGGTGCAACGACCTTAAGTCACTCCGAAAGGTTTAGAACGTGATTCCATGAGTCTAGCATGCATTATATATAGTATCTATTTTACTGTACCGAGCTGCACTATAGTCGGCCGGGTACGACACCTATTGTTCAACCACTGATCAGTTGGGTTTACCGAGCTCCACGTGTCCGGGTACGATTCTACCGAGCCTTATGATGGTCGGGCACGTTTTACCGAGTCCTCTTTGAGGCCGGGTACGATATGATGATGATGATTCCCATAGAGGCACATGTTCTTAAAAGTATATATATATAAAAGTTTATGCATTTCATGTCAGTAGCCCCTAGAGGCACTCATATGTTACATGTTGTATCTGCTCTATCTCTCTTTACATTACTGTTCTTATTTATGCTTTCTTGCCTTACATACTCAGTACTTTATTCATACTGATGTCCCTTTTGCCCGGGGATGCTGCATTTCATGCCCGCAGGTCTCGATTGATAGGTTGATGGTCCTCCTAGTAGGTTATCAGCTCAGCGAAAGGTGTTGGTGCACTCCACTTGCTCCGGAGTTGCCTATTTGGTCAGTGTGCTTTGGATATGTATTGATTGGTATGATGGGGCCTGTCCCGACCTTTATGATTTTATTTACTTTTAGAGTCTTGTAGACAGATGTCAAGTGTATGGATACTTGTATGACTTTGTCGGCCTATGTTTTGAGTTTAAAAATAGTCATGTCGGCCTTATAGGCCCGTATGCCACATGTATAAGTTTGTATATCATGTTGGGTCATCATATATTGAGTATTCCCGTATGTTTTATTCTTGTTATCTCATGCC